CGATTTTAAAAAAATCTGTGAATGAAGTTCTATTTATTATTAAAAATAAAATTATGTCTTTTTTCAGTAAAATATCCTATCTTCAATATTTAATATAATTTCCCTCTGTGTGACAAACCCGTGGGACGTGCTGTATATGAAAGCTGGTTCGAGTAAAGTATATAAATAAAATTGTCTTAATCTTAATAATTGTTTCTCAAATTAAGAATTTTGCACAATTCAAATTTTGGTGGTCTAATTTTGGTGGATTTGGTGGTATTTAATATTTACCATCAAAATTCGCTAAGTTCGATCAAAATTAGTTTAGTTTGGTGTATTAATCGAGTATGGCTATAAAATAAAGTTAAAAGTTATTCCCCAGTCTGGGTATATAAGGTAAGCCTTACATAAAATCAGAATGTCTGTATAATACAATTAAATGTTGTCGTACGAACTAATTTTGAAGTCAATTATCAATTTCGGTGCCCCATAATTTGGGTGTCAATAAAATATTATCAACCAAGTACATTAATAAATATATTCTACTTATATTTCATTAATTAAAATTGTATTTTTACTACAATAACGTATAACATTGCATAGAAATATAAAAACCAACCGAAGTATTGTAAAAAATCATAATTTCTTCTTTGAAAATTCACAGAAATTCACTCTTATGCAAGAGAATTAAATTGTTTTGAAAACAGATGAATTGAATTGTTATTGTATTAGTTAATTCGTTGACAATTGTAGCAGATTAAAGTGAATTATTCATATCATTATATTATTTCATTTAGGTACCGTGAAGCTGGGATGTCACAGACAGGCTGTTGACGGGGAGCCTGTAATAAAACCCTCTTTTACGTAAAGGGTTAAAATGTCATCGCTGGGCCACGTTGAGTCTTTCAGTGACATTGGGTTATCTTTGTTTGCATAAATTATATTTTTCATGCAAATTGTTCCCAGCCAGCATTATTTTAAATATAGCCAATCATCACCTCGGAGGAGCTCGTGGCGCAGGTGGATAGCGCGTTCGGCCTACGACCGCGGAAGTAATTTTCTGCAATTGTCGGTCATTGGATGGGTGACCAAAACTTATTTACTCGAGCTCCTCCATGCTTCGGAAGGCACGTTAAGCCATTGGTCCCGGCTGCATCTGCAGTCGTTAGCACCCACCAATCCGCACTAGGCCAGCGTGGTTAGTCATGGCCTACTGTCCCTATTCCATTTAAAGGGAAAGATAAAATAAATAAATATTTCCAACACACATCAATCAGCCTAGCCCCAAAGAAAGCACTGTAGGCTTATGTTATGGGGTACTAGGGTAACGGATAGAATACATATACTGATACATATATAAATTATATTTATATAGAAATACATATTAAACATCCATCACTGGAGTAAAAATGCGCGCATACAGCACACAAACATCTGCCCCCACCGGGAGTCGAACCCGGGACTCTCGAGTAGGTGACACCTTGAAACCCGGCGTTCATACCACTCGGCCACGGAGGTAGTCAACATCTATTAATAGGACATAAATAGGCTGGTGATGATGTATCATCACCGGAAAAAATACTTATAGACAACACATTATGATGTTAATCTTCTTCTTCATGTTCCTCTCCAATTACTGAAGGTTGGACATCAGCCTTGAAAACCTCGCTTTGTCCCTGGCGAGGTGAAACAATTCCGCGGCGCTCTTGACACCCCGGTCCACTCGCGGATGTTTCGAAGCCACGCCTTTTTCCGACGGCCCACTCGACGTTTCCCCGCAATTCCCGTGTCTGAAGACATGACCGAGGTAGGCAACTTTTCTTGTTTTGATGGTCTGCATCAATTTGCGAGTTTGACCGACACGTCTTAGAACTTCGACATTTGTAACTTTTTGAGTCCATCTGATTGAGTGCATGCGTCAGTAAGTCCACATTTCAAGAGCCTCAATACGTCTACGAAGGTCCTCTTTAATAGTCCAAGCTTCAGAGAGGACCATAGAGGACTATAGGCCAAATGTAGCATTGCAGTAGACGAGTGCGCAGGGGAATGCTGATATTTATATGAGAATGGACCGTTATGAACCACGCATACCCAATGTGGATTGCCGCGATGTAAATTGTTACCTATTGCTAAGAATTGCAAATATTTACGTCACAGGTCTCTGTCACATATGTATCTCCATTTCTTTAGCTATGGCCATGCTATTATTATATTAAATTTAGGAATATTTCACGTTTTACAAGTAATAATAAAGCATTTATAGAGTTTCAAACTGGAAATGCAGTGATGACGTCATGAACTGTAGAAATACTAATTGCTTATATTTTGCGTGCAATACACGTCTATTGTTTATGAAAACACTCATATCGAGTCATATTCAGTACCTCAAATGTAAGATGCGCCTTGATTTAACTTTTTACCATTAAAAATTTACCATCGCATTTGCGTTTACGTCAAAATTTATATTTAGTATGGACAAAATAACTTCATGTCTGTACCACTAGACGGCGTTATACATTTTCCCATACTAATTTCGATCGCGATAGTAAAGTTAAATCGAAGCGCACTCAGGCTTCGGCCTCAGGTGCTTTGGTCGCTGACGTCAAAAATTGTGTTAAAAACCTAATCGTACTGGCATACGCATGGTTCCATACGATTGTCAAGATTTAACACAAGAGTGAGGAAACTAATTGCAAAAAAGGAAAGTTTATTTTTACCTTTAACTTCTAATCTAATCTATTTATTTATCAAAATAATAAAAATTGTGTACCCATACTGAAAATACTCCGAATCCTCTGTTCAATTAATATAATTTTAATTAATAGATGATGGCATATAATTATTCCTTTCACATCTCTCTAAAACAAGTGAGCAACATCGCTTTTATATGAGAAACATTATTAAAATAAGTACCTATAAATTATACATATCGATCATGCGCTATTCGGGATTGGGATGTAAAATTTAATGTTATAATGATAAATGTACTTCGCATGTAAAGAACTGTTCAGTACCCTTAGCACTAACCATTATCGAATTCGTATCGTTTGCGAGTCCGAAATGTCATTGTCAAATGTGTACTGATTTTTGGTTCTTGTTACGTCCGATGTGGCGCTGCTGTTCAAGTTTCCATACAAAATTTGACAGTGACATTTCGCACTCGCAAACTATTCTCATTCGATATTGGTTCGTGCTAAGGGTACAGTACCCCTAGCACGAACGAAAATCCAAATGTTTTTGGTGGGATTACGTTAACGCAAAAATATACTTACACATTTATAATTATTATATATTAGGTATGTATTTCTGTCCGTTATCTAGTACCTCATAACACAAGCCTGCTTACTTTACGGTTTATAATATACAGGGTGTAAAAAACCTATGACAAAGACTGCAACTACGCATTCTGTACACCATATCAAGTAATATTACAAAATATTATACGTGGGAATCATTTGTCTCTTTAAGTTTTTTCCAGTATGCAAGGCGAGCTACTGTGGCGCTACGCAAAGAATGTGCTTGTGTGTATGTCTGTGCGTGTGTAAGTGCGCCGATAAGAAAGTTTCTAAATAACGTTTTGAAAATATTTTTAGACGACCTCTGTGGTCGAGTGGTTTGTACGCCGGGTTTCATGGTGTCGCCGACTCGAGAGGTCCCGGGTTCGAATCCCGGTGGGGGCAGATGTTTTGTGTGATGAATACGAGCATTTGTACTCCAGTCATGGATGTTTAATATGTATTTCTATATAAAAATACTTATATATGTACTGTATATGTATTCTATCCGTTATCCTAGTATCCCATTACACAAGCCTTACAGTGCTTACTTTGGGGCTAGGCTAATTGGTGTGAATGTTAGAAATATTTATTTATTTATTTATTTTATTTATTTTTGTATAAATCATGAAATAAGAATTATAACTTAGACCTTCAATATCTTCATAACCATAAATTTTCCAGGTATGGTCCAGTGGAAAAAAAATAACGTCATGATGTGGAAAATACGTGGTCTTCGACTCCGTTAAAGGATTTTTTACAACCTGTATTGTCTTTTTTTTGGAAACGACCTTTTTAATTAGTTACTACACTCAACACTCTCATTGAATTTCGTGGAAAAAATATTTGTTATCACGAAGCTATGAGTGTTTAATATTACTGATTTCTTTAACATCGGATTTTTACAGATCGATTTGTATTTCATAGTTCCTTAATAAGCTTGTGCAAGGCAATCACTACAATCCTATTTTCTTTAACACCCCATTCCATATTGTAAATTGATAATGAACACGAAAAAATATGTGTAATGGCGCAAAATCGAAAGAAGTTTTTAAAATAATATACCTACTTGTTCCAAATTCAAAATAATTAAAAAGTTGAAAAAAAGAAAAGTTTTTATGTAACAGTATTTATGGCCAGACTAGTTTTATAAATGTTAAATAAATTATAAACATGGCTTACTCTAAGGCCCTAAAAAAGTAAACAGAGAGTATATTTTGTATATTTATGGCTTTTTAGTGCAGATAATAAAAGCGTGTTTTTAGTATTTTAAATTACTAGCAAACCAGTGAACCAAATGATCACCAAAAAAAAAATGTATTTAATTAATTGAGAACTTCGGAGATTTTGTGTGGTTTCCTTTGAAATAGAAATCACGTGATTTCTCGAAAACCGGAAGTGCTACGTTACTCACATCCGGTTTGTAGTCTTATCAGACTATTCTTAACTTATAACTTAAACATTCTCTATATCTATCTCTTACGGTTTGGCCGCTGAAACAACACCACGGACGGACGGACGGACTTGTCTGATAGATAAGAGATTAAATTTTGAATTGTGATTAACGTCCGGTGCCGAGAACGGTATAGCGAAAATAAAATAGCATTGAAGGAGGAACTTTGCTTGCCTTTTTGGCATGTTTTTGACACACGAAGTACTTGCGGTGTATATTTCCATCTATTTCTGTGAACTCGACTAAGTGTATGAAATGTAATTTAATTTATTTATGTACTTTTATGCTCACAGGACGCATCGGGCAAATACATGGCGACACAGAAGCACCTCGTGAAGGAAAGCCCGGAGATGCTTGCCATAGCGAACTGGACAGGGCAAGTGCCGCGCCGGCCACCGCTGCCGCCGGGCGCCCGCCTGTCGCAGCTAATGGCGCTCGGCTCCCGTCGGGACCCAGGGCACGTGGTCTGGATGCTGGCCAAGTCGGACACGGAAATGAAGTGAGTACATTTCTTTTGTGTTTTACATAAAGGTAGTAGGGGCACATATGGCCCGCCTGATGGTATGCGGCAACCATAACCGTGCCGACCACCGCTGTCGCAGGGCGCCCGCCTGTCGCAGCTGATGGCGCTCGTCTCCCGTCGGGATCCAAAGCACGTGGTCTGGATGCTCGCCAAGTCGGACACGGAAATGAAATGAATACATTTCGTTTATGTTTATATAAAGGTAGTAGATACGCATATGGCCCGCCTGATGGTAAGCTGCCACAATAACCGCGCCGGCTGCCACTGCCGCCGGGCGTGGTTATTGTGGCAACTGATGGCGCTCGGCTTCTGTCGGGACTCAGGGCATGTGGTCTGGATGCTGGCCAAGTCGGACACGGAAATGAAGTGAGTACATTTCTTTTGTGTTTTACATAAAGGTAGTAGGGACACATATGGCCCGCCTGATGGTATGCGGCAACCATAACCGTGCCGACCGCCGCTGTCGCAGGGCGCCCGCCTGTCGCAGCTGATGGCGCTCGTCTCCCGTCGGGATCCAAAGCACGTGGTCTGGATGCTCGCCAAGTCGGACACGGAAATGAAGTGAATACATTTCGTTCGTGTTTATATAAAGGTAGTACCTAGATACGCATATGGCCCACTTGATGGTAAGCCTCCACAATAACCGCGCCGGCCGCCACTGCCGCCGGGCGCGGTTATTGTGGCAACCGATGGCGCTCGGCTTCAGCCGGGACGCAGGACATGTGGTCTGGATGCTGGCCAAGTCGGACACGGAAATGAAGTGAGTACATTTCTTTTGTGTTTTACATAAAGGTAGTAGGGACACATATGGCCTGCCTGATGGTATACGGCTACCATAACTGTCGCAGGGCGCCCGCCTGTCGCAGCTGATGGCGCTCGTCTACCGTCGGGATCCAAAGCACGTGGTCTGGATGCTCGCCAAATCGGACACGGAAATGAAATGAATACATTTCGTTTATGTTTATATAAAGGTAGTAGATACGCATATGGCCCGCCTGATGGTAAGCTGCCACAATAACCGCGCCGGCTGCCACTGCCGCCGGGCGTGGTTATTGTGGCAACTGATGGCGCTCGGCTTCTGTCGGGACTCAGGGCATGTGGTCTGGATGCTGGCCAAGTCGGACACGGAAATGAAGTGAGTACATTTCTTTTGTGTTTTACATAAAGGTAGTAGGGACACATATGGCCCGCCTGATGGTATGCGGCAACCATAACCGTGCCGACCGCCGCTGTCGCAGGGCGCCCGCCTGTCGCAGCTGATGGCGCTCGTCTCCCGTCGGGATCCAAAGCACGTGGTCTGGATGCTCGCCAAGTCGGACACGGAAATGAAGTGAATACATTTCGTTCGTGTTTATATAAAGGTAGTACCTAGATACGCATATGGCCCACCTGATGGTAAGCCTCCACAATAACCGCGCCGGCCGCCACTGCCGCCGGGCGCGGTTATTGTGGCAACCGATGGCGTTCGGCTTCAGCCGGGACGCAGGACATGTGGTCTGGATGCTGGCCAAGTCGGACACGGAAATGAAGTGAGTACATTTCTTTTGTGTTTTACATAAAGGTAGTAGGGACACATATGGCCTGCCTGATGGTATACGGCTACCATAACTGTCGCAGGGCGCCCGCCTGTCGCAGCTGATGGCGCTCGTCTACCGTCGGGATCCAAAGCACGTGGTCTGGATGCTCGCCAAATCGGACACGGAAATGAAATGAATACATTTCGTTTATGTTTATATAAAGGTAGTAGATACGCATATGGCCCGTCTGATGGTAAGCTGCCACAATAACCGCGCCGACTGCCACTGCCGCCGGGCGCGGTTATTGTGGCAACTGATGGCGCTCGGCTTCTCTCAGGTTCCAGGGCACGTCGTCTGGATGCTGGCGAAGTCGGACACGAAAATTAAGTGAGAACTCCGATAAATCAAATTTAAAAACACCAACTCCGACTTCGGTTCCGATAAATTTACCTCCGTTACATCCGTGGTCAAAACTATACGTTAACTGTATGTTAAAAGGGTGGTCAACAAACAAACATAATGATCCGCCTCTGTTCATGGCCTCTAAGTCTACTGTGTATCCGAACAACAGCGTAGACACAAACAAAGATAAAGTTTGACTTTACCACGACTTTTTGTCGCTTCCAAATCTTCAGCCTTTCAAATAGGTGCTACTGGGGAGTTCACGTAACGAAGGGATGTTACGTAAACCCTCCAGTAGCTCCTATTCAAAATACTGACGATTTGGACGCGACCAAAAGTCATGGCCGAGCGTAAAAATTTGTTCTGTTGCTGTTCGAACCTATAGAAAGGGCTCAGGTGGTGGGAGTACTTTACAAGGTACAATGTTGACCCCCTTATGTAATTCTGCCGCGCTCAAGGAAATAACAAATTCCCCGCTTGTCCTCCACTACTACAAGATCAACACATCCGTTATCGACAGCCGCCGCACACGAAATATCCATAGCTATAGCTACATTATATCGATGATGAAGCATTTAAAAACAAGTGGTCCTAAGAAAGTTAGGAGAGAATGGAAATTCCCCGAGCGGCGAGACGGTTGAACAATAGTTTAGTAACTTGTCCTCTATTATAATAATACTTGTATTAACTACGCAATAACATACATCCAGAGGAAAAATTGGGAAAAATGCTTATTAGCTCGGGCATGACTGATGGGTTTCACGAAATTAATTTCCGTCCAATCGGCTAATTACGCCACTCGCTGTGTTACGCCATTCGCAACCCTACCACCCTGTGTTACAGCTCACGGTCGTTCGAAACGGGACTGATTAATGAAACCCTCATTTGTATGCGTCGAGCGAGGGTATGATCCGCGTCAATAAAGTTTAGGATCCGAGTTAAAGCAACATATTTCAGAAGAGAGTTAAGTTGATTTTGATTGGAGGATTTTCTGCACTCCCAACTTTTTTTCTCATTATTTTTCTCTTAAGGTCGCGCAATTTTGAGGTTGTTTGATACTGGACGAGTTTTTGTACATAAGTATTAATGAGACTGATATAGGAATAGGATATATAAGAACATGACAGAATTAATGCCAGTATATTCATTTTGTTTCCGAATAAAAATGATTTTACTAACAATTTTCAATCGGAGACACTTAATAAAACTATCTTACAGAGTCACTAACTGGAAACCGAAAATTGCTAAATATGAAAAAAAAACAGCATTACGTATCAAAATTGTTGATTAGCACACGAACGGTTTACGCCCTATTTCCTTAGAGTAGGTACATACCTGATCGTACATACAATCAGCCAATTTGATTCCTGGCCCAGCGTAAGCTTATTTTGTTACAACCAGTTCAAAACAATAAGGTAGATTTTTGCTTAAATGTAGGTAACCCTGGAAACAGAGTTGTTATTTTCTGAATATTGACATGAAATTATTTTGAATTTTGCCCATGGATAAAGGATTTCCCTATTAGTTTACCAACTTTTTTTGTTACTCCTTAAAAGAATCGATTTTCATATATAAGGGTATGAGAAAAATGTGAGGAGTAAAATCTATCGATGAATGACCTCGTTACATTTTTGGTGCGCATCCTATGTCGCGCAACTTTGACAAACAAAGATGACGGATTGACATTAATAAAAATTTTAAAATCTGAACTGAATTTAGATATTGTTTTTGATAGAGAAATGTGCACAACGAGGTATGGTACGTCCATTGATGCGGTATTTTCAAGATTCGTGAACCACGTATCTACGAACGTCCATGTGTCTTATTTTAGTTACTATAAACCACTTGTCACTGTAATTAATAATGCAGACAATTTTGATTTAATTAATATTTAAAAAAAATATAATAGTCTGATAATAATAATTACATAATTTATCAACATTCCTAATGATATATTTATGCACATCTGAAATTGACTATTGTAAAAAGTTTAATGTAAAATATTTCGTCGATTAGTTATAATAAATGTATATGAAATGAATAAATATATATTTATATATATATATTATTTTCATTAATTTGTTAATTTACCCTTTCATACAGTATCAATCTTTTTTAAATTAAATAAACTCTTTTTGCGTCTGGTTAGACTATCGAACTTAAGGAGTAAACTCCAGTCGTGCGTCGGAGCTGACACACACAATTTTTTATAATGTCAATAAATCGAAAAAGTTTCTGGTATATTTGAGATTTTTAAAATTATTTCGAAATTCAAACAACTGTTCCAATTTTATCTATAACAAGATCTATTGCATTGAAAATAAAGGTGAAATTTCAAATATCTTCGATCCATATTAACACAGTTTCCTTGTTAATAGAAGGTCTTAAGTGCAATTACGTATTCTCTACAAAGAAATTGTAGAGAATACGTAATTTTGTCTGTTTTGACATTTTTAAGCGAATTATCTGGAAGCGGGTCAGGAATCAATTGGTTTAATCGTACTTACACGTTGAAGCAAAATACATTTATAATTATTTATTTAAACTTTATTAACCAAAATACAAGAGAATGGTACAAAAGACGGACTTAATGCTATTAGTATTCTCTCCCAGTCAACCTTTGGGACAATAGAAAAACGCGAACGGCGGTATAAAGCTAAATACACATAAATATTGATATAATAAATAAAATTAAAAATATATACGAATTATATCATATTTTTTTAAATAAATTGATAAAATAAACGGAATAAAAAAAACTATATCAATTAGGGTGTAGGTAAACTTAAGTTTACACAACGAGCGATGCAATTATGGTATTTTGCTTTCGGACAATATCCCAAATCCCAATCCTGGAAAGCAAAGAGTTCACTATTTTTATACAGTACCCGATGAGTCATCTAGTGGTCAGATTATTTTAACTGAACTAATGTGACAACTTGAGAAGGAGGTGGACGCGTAAATTTGACATTGTGTTATCAAGGGCTAAGAACCACTTTCTTGACCTTCACAAGTGCTTGTAACAGATTTAGGCTGTTACAAGCACGAATAAATGAT